AAATGGTTTCACCAGATTTTCTAAGACAAGTTAGTAAAGAATAATATTTTTGTATCGACAAAATAGAAAACATATGGTTCATCCCATGCATGGCATTCTGGACTGGTTTTTGTTACTCATTGACCCTGTCTTTTCAATCTTGCTACTGAGAGTTTGGGTTGACCACACCACCTCACCGTTGAAAATTAATACTAGTTGACTCCTTCTGTGCTGTTCATATGAAGCCAAAAAAAATAATAACGGGAAGAATAACCTGCCTGTAAGCTGTTTGGAAACTCCTCTGACGCTCTGCTTTAAAAACACTACATAGTAGCTTACTATATATCTCCTTGCAGCTGGAAAGAAAAGGGCAGGGGAAAGTATAATATTGCTTAAGATTAAACAGAACCATTAAAGACAGGGAGAAAATGAATAAAATTGAAGTCTTGCTTGTCTCTAATGAAGTGTTTGAACAGTGAAAAGATTGAAAATTCTTTTTCTTAAACAACCCACTCTAGACTTTAAATGTAAATACATTTATTTCAAAGAAATGAAAGGTCACTAGTTTTATCACAAGGTTATTTTGGTTCATGTTGTAAGGGTAAACATTCAAGCAAAAGAAAAATCTACTTTTTCTTCCCACCATCCCATTTGTTAAGCAAAGTTTTGATGACTCAGGGCATGCATGAGCAAAGGAATAGAGGATCTTTTCATTGCTAGAGTGCCTGTTGATTTAACACAGTTTGGTTAGTAACTTTTTTTTAACCCCTCAAAGGCAGGAAATAAAGTACTTCTGTTACGTTACTAGGGGTAGCTGCATAAATTCTGCATGCTGGAATTTATTTCATGTGTTTACGTGCGCCTGCAGATTACAGAAGGTTTTGTGTTTTCTGTCTTACCTCAATCCTTTGTTGATGCTAGCACTACTGTTATGACTTCTGTTATGGGCATTTCTACATGGGGATTCTTTACTAGTTTGAGAGCACCTTCTGCTCCGAGACCTCCAGAGGTGGACAAGTGAGCTGCTTTGTATTGACACTGATGTAAAGGAAATCTTTGCCTCCTGTTTTGTATTATTTTGTTTTGTTTTACAATGCTGTGGCTCTGTGGAGAGAAATCTTGCTGCACCTCTCCTCGTAATTCCTGAGCTTGAGTTCCTGTAAAGGCTGATAGCTCTGATGGCCACTCAGTGCACCCAAATCAGTGGATGCTGGGGTGTTGTTGTTTTGAGTAGGAAAAAAAATGTAAGGGGATTTTTGATGCTATAGAACCTGCAGCTGCGTTAGTGGAGCTGTGAATTTGGCTCCTCGCGCTCTGCAGTTCAGGTTAGGGTTGATGACAAACAGCTTTCCAAAGTTTGGGGAAAGAAAATGATGGTGTGGAAATTCTTACTGGCAATAAACCGGTAATGTTATGGATGATATAGTACTTTGCTGATATAAAATATGTAGCATTTTGGCTAATAGCCTGCAGGGAGAACTCCAGAATGGATTATCAGAGTTTGTGTGCAGAGCAAAGCTTATAGGTCTGCCTAGAAATTTATTTCTCCAGATGGTTTCTAAGAGAAGGAGGAAAATGCAATTAGACAGGTCTTTTTTTTTATGTGTGTGTAGTACTGAGTTTGGGAGCTCTCCAAGAAGAGAGGATGACCAAACTCTGAACATTGGAAATGGGATAGATAGAAGCTGAAAAGGAAACAGTTTCCTTCAGACGGAATTTTAGTGTTGTCTTAACAGATCGTTTTTTATTGTCTTATTTTATTTTTGTAGCTGTACAATTAGTGAGTAGAATAAGGGGATACAACATATACATAAATTTGATTGGCTTTAATATTTCCTTTAGGTAAAAACTTTTACGTACTGTATATGAAAGAGAGAGAGAGAGAGAGAGAGAGAGATCATTTTGGAAATTAGTTTAACTGTCAAGTAAATACTTGTTTTTAGACATTTCCAAGGCCTACTAACACAACTCTGACAAGTGAATGCACAACTTTTATTTTAGTGAATCAGTTCTTATTCATGGCTATTTGTTTTTTAATGTTACAGCCCATCTTTTACAGTCTATCTACCTCAAGGCAGCTTACATGGGGTTTAATCCCTACAACAGCAACCCTTGAAGTAGGCCAAGCTGAGAGAAAGTGACCCCTCAGATACCTTAACCACTACATTACATGAGGCATTCTTCTTGGAATTTATAAACTGAATAAGCTTTTTTTTTTAATTTTTCAGAATACCTAATTTGGAGGGGAACAGATTAGGATAGAGGTGTTTTATAGGTGCTGTAACAAAGCTTACAGTATTTAGAATGCAGGTTTTTTTTATTTCAGATGGTTATTTTAGAAAACAAAGTTCTGTATGTATCTATATTGGAGAATATTTCATTATCACAATTGACTTAAATTGCATTCATGTTATTTTTACCACAGATGACACTAGACAACTTCTTGGAACCAGGCTATAGCAAACTAGCTGCAAAAAAAAAGTGGAGATGTCTATGTAGCCACTAGGAACTGAGTTCAAAGGATATTTTACTGATTTATATGGTATTTTTTAAAAAATAGTATTGTTTCTACATCTAGACTACTATTTAAAAGAGAATATTTTACCCCTTCCAAACTGAAGAAAAATTAGTAAGCACTAAAGGGATAGTCTAGTCAACAAGGTGCTACAACACCTTTGTGTGAGGTCCATCAACTCCCAAATTAATTTATTATTATTAAATGGCTGAAATATCACAAAGTGTTTGTATTATATGGAAGTGGTTCAAATTTTTGCATTAAATTATCAATACATATATATCGCATCTATACACTTTACATGTAGTGACATAGGACCTTTGTGAAAAATGTTGCCAAGTAGTCCATTACTTAGAAGTGTTTCATGTATTTTAAAAAATACCTTAACCACAGTGTATTCTATGCTGGGTAGGCTCCATGTGTTGTATGGATGATTGCAGACAAAAAGAAGGGAGACAGTATGTACAGGCTAGGACAGTGATGGCGAACCTTTTAGAGACCGAGTGCCCAAACTGCAACCCAAAACCCACTGATGTATCATCGGGTACCGGGAGGGTGTGGCCCATTGGATGGGCGTGGCCCATTGGATGGGCGTGGCCCATTGGGTGGGCATGGCTGCGGTGGTAACGGCAGACTGGGTGGGACTAAAAAGTTCAATCAATCGATTCCAACTTTGCAAGATCTTTTTTCCCCCCGCAAGAAGTTGAAATTGATTGATTAATTGAACCTTTTTTTTTTTGCACACGGCGGAGGTCTAAAGCGAAAAGGTTTTATAAAACCCAGCTGAAGGCCTAGGACTGGGGCGACGACACACATGTCCACAGAAAGGGCTCTGCGTGCCATCTGTGGCACGAGTGCCATAGGTTCGCCACCATGGGGCTAGGAAATAGAAACCCAACAATATCAAGTTATGCATCCCTTTCACAAACATCTAGCACTGGTAATAATCTCTAGTTATTTTTTTATTGTTAACTATATGTACACAGATTGTACATTAATAAAGATATTTACATACAAATAATTATATGAAGAGCCCCAAATCTTGATATTCACATTTGTGTTTCTGGTTATGCTGTACATAAAGAAGATAATAATAATAGTAAAGTTGGAAGGGACCTTGAAGGTCATCTAGTCCAACCCCCTGCTCAGGCAGGAAACCCTATACCATTTCAGACAAATGGCTGTCCAGTCTCTTCTTAAAAACTTCCAGTGTTGGAGCATTCACCGCTTCTGGAGGCAGGTTGTTCCACTGGTTAATTGTTCTCACTGTCAGGAAGCTTCTCCTTAGTTCTAGATTGCTTCTCTCCTTGATTAGTTTCCACCTGTTGCTTCTTGTCCTGCCTTCAGGCGCTTTGGAAAATAGAAGATGATTTGCATTTGAACTACAAAATTATCAGAAGAAAAGTTTGACTCTGGGCTGTTGTTGTTTTTTAGAAGAGTAGTATGGAAGTTGTATAAACTAAAGGGTGCAATATTGAATTCATTTCTGGTTCTAGATATGTCCTGCTTTCCTTTCATTCCAGAGATAATTGATAGCTTATTAAGACTGTGCCAAAGAGTCTGGCAGAACAAAGAAGAGATAAATTGTTCAAACTTCAGCACAAACTGTAAAATTTAATTTCAGTTACTAGCCATTGCTTTTAAGTGTACATTTTTTCTCAATTTTGCTAACTTCTTATCTTCATAAAAATCTGTAGGAGGGGGTGAAAGAATAGCTCTATTGGGTTAAAAAATTATGTAATTCTAATGAAGGTTTAGATTTTTGCAACTCAGATCTGCAGAATATACTTAACTTTTACAGGCAATTGTTTGCAGCCTATTGTATACAGTCTTAAATCTGAATTAAAACTCTAATGGGCAAAAGAATAAGATACAATGGATTTATTGCACATAAGGATCAGCAAGCTCCATTATGTTTTCGTGAGCTTCACAAAAAACCTGTCTGGGACTTATCTCTTGGAAGTATAGTAGTCTTCCCCAGCTACCCTGATGAAGATTAATAAGCTATGGTAAATAAATTTAAAACAAAATGGCGTGGAGTAAAAAACAATTACAGACAAGGATCCCATAAAGTATATTACTTTATTTCTTTAGTCTTTAGCAAAGACTAAATAAATTAATAGAGAGGATAAGAGATAAAAGTCTCATATTTCAGGTGACAATTTACTACCTTTTTAATCACAAAATGCCTGTTATCACCTGCTAAGTATGGTAGGCATGTGTAATCCTTGTCAGACCCTATTATAATGTACCATGTGAACTAGTACAGTTATGTATGCATTTCTCCAGGGGATCAAGGTTTCTGCTCCAATCTAGCTGAAATTAGTCTTACTTCCATTGAAATGTAGGATTTTAGTTAGACTGTTTGATATCATGCCTATGTAATATGGAACAGACCATTGGTTTTCTAAGTCCTGTAATGGATAATTACATACAGCCTCAGGTTGTGTATGTCAATAAAACAATTTCTCCTTTTCTCTCTCCACCCACAATGTTTCCACAATAGGACATCGTCAGAAACTGGACGAGCAGACAAAGACTGGAAGTTTGTCCTTTTCAGAGCGCCTGAGTGAA